CGTGATTGGGTGAATTTATGAGTGATTTTGTGATTGAGTGAACTTATGAGTGATTTCGTGATTGGGTGAATTTATGAGTGATTTTGTGATTGGGTGAACTTATGAGTCATTTCGTGATTGGGTGAACTTACGAGTGATTTCTTGATTGGGTGAACTTATGAGTGATTTTGTGATTGAGTGAACTAATTATGAGTTATTTCGTGATTGGGTGAATTTATGAGTGATTTTGTGATTGGGTGAACTTATGAGTGATTTTGTGATTGGGTGAACTTATGAGTGATTTCGTGATTGGGTAAATTTATGAGTGATTTTGTGATTGGGTGAACTTATGAGTGATTTTGTGATTGGGTGAACTTATGAGTTAATTTGTGATTGGGTGAACTTATGAGTTAATTTGTGATTGGGTGAACTTATGAGTGATTTCGTGATTGGGTGAACTTACGAGTGATTTCGTGATTGGGTGAACTTATGAGTGATTTTGTGATTGAGTGAACTAATTATGAGTTATTTCGTGATTGGGTGAATTTATGAGTGATTTTGTGATTGGGTGAACTTATGAGTGATTTTGTGATTGGGTGAACTTATGAGTGATTTCGTGATTGGGTGAACTAATTATGAGTTATTTCGTGATTGGGTGAATTTATGAGTGATTTTGTGATTGGGTGAACTTATGAGTGATTTTGTGATTGGGTGAACTTATGAGTGATTTCGTGATTGGGTGAATTTATGAGTGATTTTGTGATTGGGTGAACTTATGAGTGATTTTGTGATTGGGTGAACTTATGAGTTAATTTGTGATTGGGTGAACTTATGAGTTAATTTGTGATTGGGTGAACTTATGAGTGATTTTGTGATTGGGTGAACTTATGAGTTAATTTGTGATTGGGTGAACTTATGAGTGATTTTGTGATTGGGTGAACTTATGAGTTAATTTGTGATTGGGTGAACTTATGACTTAATTTGTGATTGGGTGATCTGATTCTTATCTCAGCCTACAGGATGAGCTTGGTCTTTTTTCTTCCTGACTCCCGAGTCCTAGTTTACGGTGAAAAGCAGCGAGAGCCGACAGAGAGCTCCATCGGCAGGATTTCACTCACCACTTTTATTTAGTTTTAAGCCCCTTTTGTCAAAACAAGCTGTAATCATGATGCTAAGTGGTTTCCTAGTTGCATAATAACAGGAGTTATGCGACCAGCGCAGCATCATGCAAATTGACTCCAGAGGGTTAAAAATAAAAAAAACACACATACAATGGTAAAAGCCTTATTTTGGACCGTATACACGGCAGGATACCCCAGAACAGCGCTACACCCTCTGGTGTCCAGGTGGGGAATTGCTTTGCAACACTCCCCTAGAGCTGGAGAAGCCTGAGAGCAAAACGTCTCTGTGCAGCTCTCCCTCGTGGAGATGACAGAGACATATAAATGAAGTTTTATGTGAAGACTCCTCTTTCTAATCTGTTCCCCACAAGAAAGAGAAGCCGTCCCCTCCTTCAGCAAAGACCAAAGTCCCTTACCTACAGACAAGGGACACTGTATGCTTATTCTGAATTCAACAGATTCCCCACTATTCTGAGTGACAGCATCACGTATGACTCACTGAAGAGGGACCCAACAAGTGGATACAAGAAGAAAATCACCGAGCATTTACAGAAATTGCTAAAGCACAAAGTAATGGACAGCACATTTTACTACATACAGACTCTATCCAGGAGAAGCCACCTCATGGTCTTCCAAAACTTCACAAAGAAGGAACACCATCAGTAACGGCCGCTGCTCAGGACCCTATTTACTTGGTTCACCGAGCAGCAAACCCACATTCTGGGCTGTTTACGGTTGTTACAGTTGCTCTAATTTGCATAAACATTTATTTTGTGTCCTAATTTACAAAAACATACTGAAAGAAGATGGCAGAAGTGGATGAGTAAATGGCTAAAACAGGAGGAGCTGATGCGGGCTATGCTAGTGATCACTTTCTAACAGGTAAGGTTTACGGAATGTTTTATTGAACATTAACTTAAGAACACAGCCATACTGTTTTCATGTGTCTTCAGTGCAAATAGCTTTCAGAGTACTAATGTTTTTAGCAGTTAGCTTATTGTTGTAATGGGGCGTTTTAACCTTTTTAAAATCAAACAAACGTACCAGAAATTTGGATTTAAAAAGCTACGACTGTGCAGGGCTGGGGGGCTCCGGGCTTGGCGTCCTCTAATGGGTTCCCTTTGGCTGAATGTCCTGAGTGACCGGGTTATTCCACCTTCCCTGATGGAAAGGCCATATTCCAAGATGACAATGCCAGGATTCATCAGGCTCAAATAGTGAAAGAGTGGTTCAGGAAGCAGTATAGCACCTTCTTATGGTGCTACAGCCCCCCAAGGCGCTTAACAACACAATCAGTCATTCACACATTCACACGCTGATGGGGATGAGATACCATGTTGCCACAGCTGCCTTGGGGCGCACTGACGAGCACTGGCGCCACCGGTCCCTCCGACCACCACCAGCAGGCAGGGTGGGTTGGGTGTCTTGCCCAAGGACACAATAATAGCATTCCCTGGTCGGACCCGGGATTGAACCTGCAACCTTCTGATTACTGGACAGCCTGCTCTACCTAATGCAACACTGGATGGAAACAAATCTGGTGACACTGCAGAAGCTTATCGACGCAATGCCACAACAATGTGTGTCGTAATCAAAGCTAAAGGAGTTCCTTTTCTTTGGTGGCGACTGTGTAGGTTTTGAACCCTCCACCCCGGTTTGATCAGGGTGTTGGTGGTTATTTAGTACATGTGGCAGCCTCTTTTCATTGAAGCTGCACAGCCCCCTGTCAGACTCGAAGACTGGGTTCAGGAGTAAGAGCTTTTATTAGAGACTGCTGGCTGCAAGCGATGCTGAAAAGGCTGACGGGAGGATGAGGTCTGAGTTAGAAAGGTGGAGGTTTAACTGTCTTAGCTTCTGAATACTCTGATCATGGAACACGGTGGAACGATGACTGAGTGATGAGCCGGTGTGGCGTCTTCCATATATAGACATGGATGACGCAGGTGCAACGTGGAGGGAATCCCCTCGAGGGGCATGCTGGGTAATGATC